TATATATATATATATACACACATACATACATATATATACACACATATAAAGCTATATATATACACATACATATATATAATTTTTAGCAATAGAATGGAGGAGTAAACTAGAATTGTCCTACATGGAGAGTCATTTTTGGGGAATAAACATTTGCTGTAGAGCATTCACAAAAGCAATAATTAAGACATTGAAAAAAAATGAGTATATGAGTGTTTCACACACATGTATATTCATTATAATTGCCATTGATAAAATGCCCATCTGCCAGAATTACCAATGCAAGCATTTTAAGAACATTACATGATTATATTTATTAAACCTAATTAGTTAATAATGTATATCTATTACACTGTAGCTATATAACAGCCTCTCAGAGCATTTAGGAAGTTAAAATAATTCGATCCAATGTTTTAATGGTTAATCAAAATATTTTCCATTGTTTTAGTTTTGACATTGTTGCATATGAATTAAAAATTGATTGGATGAACACCTCTCTATAATGTCTAAGTATATGTTTACTTAAGGTAGTGCCAACTTTTAAATCTCAAGAAACAAATGAAAAATTTGTTAACATTAGCACTTTGTGGAGACTATGGTAGGTGCTCAAAGACATTATTAAATTTCTGTTAACTAAGCCTCCATAATGTATATATATATATACATATTAGAATACAGAGGCACATCATATTTACCTTTACAGCTTCTTCCATCTTCCTTTACTTCATATCCATCTTCACAGAAACATCTTGTACTATTTCTGACAATTGCACATTTATACTGACAATTCAACTCTTGGCAATTTGGTAACAGTTCTGTAGAGGAAAAACAAACATATTATCTCTATTAACCATGCAAATATATTTAACATTTATATTTAAATATTGTGTATATTTACTCAGTGCATACACTTTCATAATATAGTTCTGATTGGTCCTCTAGAAAATTTCTGTGATTGTTCTAAAGGAGAAACAATATTTATCCCTTCTGAAATAAATATTGGTTTACATTTTTGTGAAGCATTCTTAATGAAATTTATGATCAATCTATTTGGTCTTCTACTTTTTAGCTTATTACCTACATTCAAAGTCACAAATCCTTTCAAATTCTGGTAAATTAAATAATTTTAAGAGGAAAAATGTCAGCTCAGTAGTTGATTCACCATGTATGCCTTTTCTATCTGACACATCAATTGATTTTCTATCTTTTGAGGGGTTGTTTTGATTTATCAATCCATGTGTAACCTTCACAGCAATCAATGTGTTACATTCCATTTCAATTATTTATTCCATTGGTAGCATAATATTAGATAAATATTGGACATAATATATTTCATTATAGCTGAACTCTTTTAGAGCAAATACATCACTGAAGCAAAAGTTAGCAAACCCACAGAGCAAATTAGGATTCAATATGATAAATGGATGAAACAGAGATGAAGTGACAGGAGCATATTCATTGCACAAATGATTTCTAACAGGAATAAGATTTGCTAAACTAGAAAAATATCTGGATAGAATGCATGATTGACTCTGCTGTCTAAAAACAGGAGCATTAATGAATTGTGACACCACTATTGTTTTCTCTTTTTCCTCAAGTCAAAAAATAAGACTGAGTTTTCAAGATTAAAGTTAAATGATTTACAATATGGTGATATTTGCCATATATATAGCTGGTGCTTTAAGAAAAAATATATACATTGTAGTAAAACATAAAAGTCCAATGTGGAAAAGAATATCTAGAACATCCCAATTTGAGAATTGAGTATTTTACTAAAAATTTAATTATCTATAGTATTTCCTTAGCTCAGTTACTTTTCAACAATCTAATACAACTATTTAATACAGTCTCTCTTCTTAAACCTCCAAACATCCTTCTTAGCTCTGACTTACATATGATGATCTTGCTTCCTACTTCTCTGAGAAAACTGAAGAAATCAGAAGAGATTTTCAATAGATTTACACTCCACATTGAGGTTCAAGTGCACCCATAAGTACTTCAGTCAAAAGGCTTGGCAATTTACTCCAAAAAATCATCTGTTGAAAAACCTATGGAGCACAGCGCAACTCTAATACACATGGGGTCACTGTGAGTCAGACATGACTCCATGGCAAGTTTTTTATTTTTTCTATCTGCCTACATATATTCTTTTCCCCATTGACTTTCAAAGTTGGTTAAACTTATCATCAAGATTCCCCCTTCCCTAGACACATCTAAACACTTTGAGGGACCAAGTAGCCGGGGCTGGGGCCTGGGGACCATAGTCTCAGGGGACATCTAGGTTAATTAGCATAACATAGTTTATAAAGAAAATTTTCTGCATCCCACTTTGGCAAATAACATCTGGGGTCTTAAAAGCCTGCAAGCGGCCATCTAAGATATATATATATATATATATATATATATATATATATAGGTCCCATCCCACCTGGAGCAAAGGAGAATAAAGAAAACCAAAGACATAAGGAAAATACTATCGCAAAGGAATAAAAGGCCACATGAACCTGAGACTCCACCAGCCTGAGACCAGAAGAATTAGATGGTGCCTGGCTACTACCAATGACCACGCTGACAGGGATCACAATAGAGTCCTAGACAGAGCAGGAGAAAAATGTAGAACAGAGTTCAAATTCATGTAAAAAGGCCAGTCTTACTGGTCTGACAGAGACTGGAGGAGCCTCAAAACTATGGCCCCTGGATGCTCTGCTGACCCAGGACCGAAAGCGTTCCTGAAGTCCACTTTTTAGACAAAGATTAAACAGGGCTATAATGCAAAAAATAACACACGTGAGTAATGTGCTTCTTAGTTCAGTCAAATATACAAGACCAAATGGGCAGATCCTGTCCAAAAGCAAGACGAGAAAGCAGAAAGGGACAGGAGCTGGACGAATGGACACAGGGAACGCGGGGTGGAAAGGGGGAGCATGTTGTTACACTTTGGGGATTGCAACCAATGTCACAAAACAATATGTGTATAAATATTGGAATGAGAAATTAACTTGAGCTGTAAACTTGCACCTAAAGCACAATTAAAAAAAAAGATTCTACCTTTCTGTTAACAAAATCCCATCCCCTCTCATCTACACAAGAATATTATTTCAGCTGTTTTCCACTGCTTCTCCTAGTCATCATTTTCTGTGCACATTAGATCAGAGGTTGGCAAACTATAGTTCCTATGTCTTTTAGAAATTAAGTTTTGTTGGAACACAGCCACACCCATTTGTTTCCAGATTATCTATGGCTGTTTTCACAATAAAAAGACAGAGTTGAATAGTTGCCTCAGAGATCTATGGTCCTCACACCTAAAACATTTACTATCTGAGCCTTTACAGAAAAAAACTGCTCATGTTTATATAGCTCATTCTCAGTATGCAAACATGATTTTATTTTTCCCCACTTAAAGCAAAAAATAAAAACATAAAGCACCTTGACCTCACTTTTCCCAATAGTTACTATTGCCTAATTCCTCCATTCCTTTTTGCAATAAAACTCAAAAAAAAGCATCAAAAAATAACTTGTCCATACCCCTCTCTCTGTTCTTTCCTCTGATTCTATCTTAAATCTATTCTATTAGGCTTTCATTGGCACTGCTTCACACAAACTTCTCATGAAAAGGTTTCCAATATCCTCCATGATAATAGCCTTTTCTCACTTCTCATCTTACTTTGCATATCAGCAGCATTGGACACAGCTGATAACTCCTTATTTCTGACGCACATTCATCGCATTACACCCTCTCCTTACTTAACGACATAGTTAGGTTCCAAAGACCAAGTTGTTTTGCAAAATCAATGTAATGCGAAAATGGAGGATGACTACATCAGATCACAAAGTGGAGGATGACTACCTTATTACATAACTGACAAACAACTGAGACTCATGGCCAACCAGCGTTACCCTCACCTTGCACCTCAGTGTTCGTTACTGCCAGATGTACATTGTTAATGCACAAAATAGCTCATTTTTTATGTTGCTTTTTTATTGTACTTTAGATGAAGGTTTACGGAACAAATAGTTTCTCATTAAACACTTAGTACACATATTATTTTATGACAATGGTTAACAAACCCCACGACATGTCAACACTGTCCTTTCTCAACTTTGGGTTCCCTATTACCAGCTTTCCTATCCCTTCCTGCCTTCTAGTCTGTGTTCCTGGACTGTTGTGCCCCATTAGTCTCATTTTGTTTTATGGGGTTGTCTAATCTTTAGCTGAACAGTGAATCTTGGGAGTGACTTCATTACTGAGCTAAAAGGGTGTCCAGGATCCATACTCTCGGGGTTTCTCCAGTCTCTGTCAGGCCAGTAAGTCTGGTGTTTTTTTGTGAGTTAGAATTTTGTTCTACATTTTTCTCCAGCTCTGTCCGGGACCCTCTGTTGCGATCACGTTTTTTATATTGTAAATGTGAAATGTCAGATAATGCGATACCATTGAAAAGTGAGGAGAAGGTGTATTTCTATTTTGGTTTCCCCCACGAATGTATATAGGAGCCTTCGTGGCACGGTGGTTAAGAGTTTGGCTGTTAACCAAACGGTCGGCAGCTCGAATCTACCAGCTGCTCCTTGAAAACCCTATGGGGCAGTTCTACTCTGTCCTATAGGGTCGCTATTAGTTGGAATCAACTTGACAGTAACGGGTTTTGGTTTATATACACATACACCTATGTATGTGTATATATGTACTAAAAATGAAGAACCTACTATATGTCAGGTTTCAATGGCAACTAATGACAACAGCAATATACCATATGTTTCACAAATAACATGCCTGCACATTAACGTGCAGTATAGCTTGCTTATGAAAACAGCGAGGGAGGGTGGCACGGTTGGCAAAAAAAAAAAAAAAAAAAGTATAATGTGTGCTATATTTGCATAAAAATAGGGGACATGTAATCTCTGAAATCTCATAACAGATGAACATCTAGATATTACTGTATTCTGCACTTTGCTGATGAGGAAACTGATGGCTGATAACTAGCCCAAGATTACACAGCAAATATATTATACAGCTGGCATTCAAAGCAAGGTTGGCCTGGCTCCCAAGTTTGTGTTCTTAATAAGAGCTCTATTACTCACTGTATACTCAGAGGATGGCTGGTAGGAACGATGGCAATTTTTTTTGTTTTTTTTGTCATTCTAGGCTTAGCTACATGTTATACAGAAAATTTCTTCTAATTTTTGTGAGACAAATGAATCAATAAATCAATAAAACAGCTTAACTTTAGGATGAGGATCACCACTCTCTGGTGTCATTCCTAGTCCATTAAATTACACTAGGTCCTAAATATAGTTCATTTACCTCTTAAAGCTAGGTAATTCAGTTGTCAAATCATGTTTGATTATGGTGGAGTCAGTCCAAAATTGCCTTGAATTTATATACTACTTTAGTTCAACATTCATTGAGCACCTAGTCAATACTAAGCATTCTGCTAGGATTTCACAAATGAAGATTGTTGTAAACAAACTGAGGGATTTACAACATGAGTGTGGAAGTGGGTAGGGTTAGGTGAGAAGGACAATAATTTAAAAAAACAAGTATAATTCATGACAGAAAATCACATATGCTAAATAAAAATCCGAACATGATTTACAAAGAGAGGGAGTCAATTAAGAGCTGGAAATGGGGGGAGGATATCTGGGAAACAGCTGTGGAAGAAGTTTTGTTTGAGCTGGGACTTAAAAGCTAAGAAGGGTGTCAATACACAAAATTTATGAGAGTGTTTTCCAGACGAAGGGGAAAACAGGAGAAAATGAATAAAAAGATACAAAAACTTACAAAATAGTATATAAACAATGGTAAATAGCCCTGTGCAGT